AAGCAGAGCTAGTAAATGAGGTGTTCCATAAACAGACCCACGTCCCTGCAAACACACTCATGAGCCCTGCTCCCATTTTGTGATGTTTACCTGTATTGGCCAACCCAGAGTAAAGTTTTGTCCTATAGGTTTAGTGCACACACAGATTGGTATTTATATTACAGGTAAACCTTTGCACAAAGTGATATTACACTAATGTGTACAGCAGTCAGTGTAACACGCCTGTATACACTGAACATTCAAATTGCTGTTTCACTCAGTTACATCCATTTTTAAACTTTTGTGTTTAAGTTATTTGTACCATTTAAATAAAAAAGTTTTTATTTTATTCCTGTTTAGTACATTGTGGAATTGCGTATAAGGTTCATGTCCAATAAATAGAATGAAAATCTGTGCAAGTGACAATATAAGATATGGACATTGACATTGTGAAACAGTGATACGGGAACAAATCTGAATGTAAGTCTACGTCATCAAACTGTGTGGCTTTAATACTCTTGGGTACTTTATAACTGTCAAGTAGTTGAAATAAGATGTGTGCTAACCGTGTTCTGCTCTGCTCACATTAGACATTCACGACTCTGTGTGTTAGAATGAAAAGTTATATTCTGTTGTTCTCATTAGCAGTCACAAAGTGTAACGTTTGTTTCTGTACAGAAGTGGGGCGGCTGGGCCGCTCCTCCTCTGCTGCTGGAGTGAGACAGGTGGGTGGAGACGTCCAGAGACAGAGCAGTCTACCAGCACGAGAAGCCCTGAATCAGGTGAATATGCAGTGTAATATCCAGCCTCATAACTATAGACTCTATTAACTTCATTCATGGTCGATTTGGGAGTGAACATTAATATTGTTCTCATTATTACTGTGCTTCCTGCTAGAGACACTGCTCCTGCACATCTATTTATAGCTTGTAGATATGTCCTCTGAGCAGAATAAGGCTCTGGCCTGCCTCAAAAGAATGAGAGCCGCAGAGGCACATGACATGGGCCAATATGTAACCAGTAAATGAGACAGTGGATGAGAGAACATGCAGTGCTATGTTTTGTTGAGATGCGCTGCAGTCTTCCAGCAGTGCAGTTTGCCCAGATTCTGGCTGCATAGCAAGTGCTGACGCAGTTTGAGTGTGCTGCAGAGACTGTCTGCATGCGTCTGGTTGACCCTCCCTCAACCTGTGAGATTTGAAGCAACGCTGCATCCTAGTGGCTGTCCAGGGCCACTGCAGTTTTATTCAACATGTTAGGAATGGTTGTCACTATGTACAGCTCTGCAGTGATCCTTCACAGTAAGACTCTAAAATCACGAAACGTCTCATGAATTCACCATCTTGTCTTTTTCCCAGCTACACGGTCTGGCCCAGCCACAAGCGCCCTGCAGTCCCAGCAGTCCTAGCATGTCTCGGCAGCAGCAGCAGCTTCAGCTCCACCAGCAGCAGCTTCAGTTAAAGCAGCAGCTCCAGCAGCTTCAGCAACAGCACCACCTGCAGCTGCAGTTCCAGCAACTCGCCCAGCTGGCACAGGGACAGCCTCCTGTCAGTGGAGGCACCACCCCATCCACAATGCAGAGCCAGAGAGACGGCAAGCTGCTGGAAGTCATAGAGCGTAAACGCTGCCTGTGCAAAGAGATCAAGGCCCACAGGCGCCCTGACAAAAGTCTCTGCAAGCAGGACAGCATGCCCATCCTCCCTAGCTGGAGACGGACACCTGAGCCTCGTAAGACTGGCACGCCACCCTGCCAGAGGCCGCAAGCCGTTGTGTGGGACACTGCTATCTGAGGCAATAGGACAGCCTAACAAGAACGTCACGGAAGACACAAAACACACAGATGAGCAAAAGATGAATGAACAATAAAGAAGAGATGAGAGTTAAAATGGGTTTGGTAAGAGGAATGTTCTTTAGATGATTTGTGGTGAGATGGTTGCCACAGAGGAAAGAAAGATTTTGGACGAAGAAGAAGAAATTCGCCAGCACTCTTAGTGTGTGATAGAGAGAATGAGGACAGTAATAAAGATTACTGGAAACTCATTTGGAAAAACAAACAAAAAAGGCTGATAAAAGAGGTGAAGAAAAACACGTCTTAAAATCAGATTAATTAATTTCATACCCAGTTGATTTGTACTTGCTCTCTACTACTGTATGTATTCAGTTGTTCTAATTGCCAACAATTTTTGCCACAAAACACCAGTGCTATTGCTACAAAGTGAAACCACCATCTAAACAATAACGGGTGGGATCTACTCTAAGATTGGTGTTGCCAAATTTCCTCCTGACTACTTGACTACATGGGAATCATGTATTTTCCTCCAGCACACAATCGTCCAAACACACTGCTCTGTGGATGAGAAAAGGCCAGACTCGTTGACAAGTTATCGAAGTGTTTCTTGAAATCGTGAATGCATATGAGATGTCTTAATAGATTGTCATTGTGGATGCAAATAATCATCAACAAGGAGTAAAAGCTACCTACTGTATCTGTTTGCATATTTGTAATGTATCTATTTACTTTCTCAACGTTTCTGCAATTTTATAGCAATATGCTCCCAGTGCTGGAGCAACATGATTAAAACTTGTGTCAACTAGCCTAACATACATATCTAAGACTTGAATAAGTCATATTTACTGTGTCATTCTCTGCATGTCACAATAGACATACAGTATTGTAAAAAAAGATAATATATATATGTGTAGAGATGATCATGTCAGACTTTTACATACAGCATTCTTCACTATGATAAAATCATGTGGTTGTACAAAAACATGTTGCTTGGGGTATCATTGTAAAAATCAGTGGTGTGACAGATGGCACATCACGTGCAGTCCAGTCAAACATACAGTAGGTAGAGAAAATCGTCATCACTCATGCTTATACCCACAGTTGCACATTAGTGATTGTTCCTCCACACAGAACAACAAGCACTGACACCCATCAACACAGACTGTACAACATGGTGCAACTGATAAGACTGTGAGTATTGATCACCTCAGACAGAATGCTGGAACAATCTGCACAAAAACATGGTATACGCTTAGGAGAAATTAAACCCTAATGTACTGTAAATAGATATGTACAACCGGATTGAAAATGTAGCAGTTATTTCCATTTTCATACTTGTAATCAGTACATATAATGTAGCATATACTGTATAAACATAACTTTGTCCACTCGTTTTTTCTAAAAAGAATTAAGTACTTTATCTGCTGCAGCCACTCCATGCATTATATATAGTTCAACTAATAAACAGTAAGCCCTCAAAAAGAAAGGCACAGTCCAACAGTTGTTTATTTAAATTTATGCAAGACTCCCTTTAAGATGTGTTATTGATTTATTTATGTCTTTTTTTCTACATTAATTTTTATTTATGTACAGATTTCTTGTTTTTTTAAATACTTTGCTGCTATCTTGAACTACTGGTGTTGTTCGTTCAACGACATGGTGTTACTACGAGAAAAAATTATTAATATAGTGCTTATTGTTACATATTTGTTTTACTTCTGAAAGCCACATGAATTGGAGTTTGTATCTTGAAGAGTGAGCCCTTCTGTAATAGTATTAAGGCACTTGAATGTCTCTTGGTTGTTGTTGTTTGATGATAGTTATGGCACCAAACTATACAGTACAGTACACCCCATGAAAAGACGACCTATCTAAATGTTTGAGAGTCACTGCTTGGCCTTTTGTTTTAGTTCCACCTGCTTGTGTTTGACAGTCAAGGGTTTTCAGTCTCACTGAGTCCATTTTTAAACAAACACAGGTCAGATTGATGGAAATGGGCAAGTGCAATGCATGCAGAGATTCCTTATACTGAAAAGTTCCCAAATGATGCTCATTATTCTGCCCAGTTTAATTTCAGATACCAATAATCATCTTTCCATGATTCCTTTTCACAGACAGATGTGGAACCCGGGGTATCATCTCCCAAGATAGTTTACAGAAGCCGTTGGTTTTGTGTGTCTACTAAACGGTGGCCATTATATGAGTGCCATACTATATTGATATGGTAAGATACGGTGTACCTTGGAAATCACTGTAGTGCTATATTTGCATTGATATTGTCATTAAAATAAATTTTATATAATGAACTTTACACAACAAACAGGATTTTGTGCATATGTTCGTGCCTCGTGTTGCTTTACGGTGAAGAGGGTGTGAGAGTGGACATGATGTTCCCACTGCACTTCTGCAGCTGGTGCTGCAACTCCACCGAGTTTCCAAGTGAGGGCGCTACTTTCACCCACTATTGCTGCTGGTGTGGCTTTGCACAGTCACTGCTTCAAGAGCCTGTAGCATACAAAATAGTTATATACAGAGGCAGAGCATTAGACGCAGTCTCTCTTTATATATATCTTTGAATATGAAACAATTACATCATATAGTTATTAGGACAAACTTAACACCGCATCTTATAACTGAAAGTGAAATACAACTACTTGTACCTTTTACCTCAGTAACTTTAAATATGTTGCCGATGTGAAATGTTTATTTGGGGACGATGAAGAAGAAAGTGTCTCAGATTCTCCAATTATGACATTCATAATAATCCCATCTGCTGAAGTAACTCTTGTTTTTTTTCTAAAGAGTCTATTTCTCATTTATTTTGTCCAGCAAACTGTCAGGCTTCTACCTGATCCCTGCATGATGGCGCAGTCAACCTTTGATAATATTTAGGGAAACATGAGATAAATAACAACGCCCCTGCGATTATTCTGATTCCAGTACAGATAATTGAGTACAGTGAGAGGGGGAATGACATAGGCACAGTATGGAGGAACATCAGAGCAGTATGACGCAACGTGGCCTCGGAGCCAATGACATGACGCCTCAGCCAGCACGCGATTTGCCTCTTGGATGCGAGAAGGGAGGGGTGCGGTGCAGGTGATTGGTCAGCTCTGATGGTCGAGGGTGGTGGTGGTGATGGTGGGGTGATGTAGAGGATGAGGTTGAGAGGAGGGAGGGGGGTGCTTTACCGCAGTATCACTGGATTTCTGCACCACTCATCAAAACTCTGCGGCATGCAGACAAGAGCTGGGGGGGAGGGCAGAGAGCAGGTCTGAGCTGAGTGTGAGAGACCGCCACCTTTATCCATCTGTGCTCTTAGTAGAGAGGCTGCATTGCTGCTGTGTGCTGTGGGATTTTTAATTTATGTGCATGTTGAATTTCATGAGCAGACGCTTTTAATTTGCCTCTGTTCTCCGTAGAGGTACAGTAGCTCTCTCTTTCTCTCTCTCTCTCTCTCTCTCTACCTCTCACTCTCTGCCCCTTTCTCTCTCTCTTTCTCTCTCTCTTTATCTCGCGCTCTCTTCGAGCCGGCGCTTCTTTTTCGAGTGTGTGTGAGAGAGAGTGTGCATCAGACCAGGACAGCGGAGCTCCCACGTTTTATGACAAAATGGCCAAGGACGGAGAAAAGAGCGAGTGGAAGGATTTTATATGGAACCCGAGGACCAGGGAGTTTCTGGGCAGGACGGCGAGCAGCTGGGGTGAGTGAAGACACACAGCAATGCAGCAAAAAAAACATGGTCTCTGTAACAGGTCTCTGTCTTAGTCATCCTCAGCAGGGGGGCTCCATTAGAAAGAAGTGCGTGTCACCTATAATGAAAGTTGATGACGCTCTGCGGGGCTCAGGTGGACATATTCTCATGAGACGCCCGTGTCGCTGTCCGCTCCTGCCTGGTGCTGAAATGTGAAATGCGGCACCGCTCCTGTTGAAGCCGACGGAGAGAAAAAAAAAATAATTTCCTGCCCAGTTTCTCTCTTTCTTTATTTATTAATTTATGCCGCCGCTTTCCCCTGCGCAATGCGCCCATCACGAGGGTGGAGGAGGAACATTCATCCTCCATCACATTATTATTTGCCAGCTGACTGCAGCACTGCCGAGAACAGGTCCCTCTCTTGTTGCAAAGTGCAGATGCTCATCTCAGTGTGCAGAGTGCTGTCGCAAGCGTTAACGTGGATTCTGCTGCAGAGCAGATTCCCATTAAGGTTTCACATTCAAGTAAAGCAGAAATTGGTTTGCTTTTGCCTGTAGCTTCGTCTAATGAGCCTTCAACGTGATGTCATTCATTTTCAGCCTGTTTGCCCCCCCCCCCCCAGAGATTCTGCAGGGAGTTCCAATCCCAGTTTCCATTGCTATTGCCATGTTCTGCCCCCTTTTCTGCCCCATACACAAGCAGCCTGCAACTGTTTTCAAAAATTCATGAAATGATAGGGCACATATGGCCCTCTTCTAATGACATTGGAGCGTTTTAATCTGGGTAAAGCCGAGGGCCAAATGCTATTTGTATCACCTCCAGCCCAGCCCCTCCCAGTGTGTGTAACTCAGTGCAGGATTTAATCCTAATCTAATGACTTCATTGGCTGGTGCATGGGGAAGGTATCAATTCAGGGCGTTGGAGCAAAGGAAAGCACCCTCAGGAATTGAGATTTTTTTAAATCTTTCCGTTGTGTTTGTGCATGGTCGGAATGATTTTGAGAGTGGTTTCCCCTTGTTGAGTTCTGGTGATGATGTTTCATGACTGCTTTTAGTGCAGAGTTGGGAATCATTGACTGTAGCTTCCTTTGCTGGAATCCTCCCAGTGTACAACTTAATCCAGCTCAGTGTGTCCCAGGTGCTTCAAGGTCTGGTGGCCCTTTTAAGCTGTGCTCTCTTAGGCTGGTTAATTAGGCTATTTCTGTAGTCGCCCCATACATGTGGGTCTGCTAAACTTGGCATTTCACCCTCAGCACTTCCTCATTCCCCCGATGATGCGTACACTAGACTGGCTGCACCTCTAGTTGCACTTATCTGCAGCCAATCCATTTTCTAGCCCCACTTAGAAGCACAGAGAAAAGGGCAAACAATAAAATGGATTCCAGTCTATTTAACAGACAAATGTCTTGTTTACATGTATTCATACGCACTACAGAGTGATGGATCAAAAGCTTCTTTGAAGATGAAATGCAGAACACTCCCTTTGTGTAAAGAGGTATAATGATATGGAAATAGCCTTGATAAAGTAGAACAGTCTAGCTATTGGGGTGTTACATTGCCACCAGCTGACATCAGGAGAACACGGTAAAACAACTACTTCCATTTTAAAATAGGACTAATTAAGTGTTCTGCACCTCCCACTTCCAAAAAACAACAAAAGCCTCTGACTGGAGCATTGGAAATGAGCCTTAAAGGACCTAAGTCATTGTCAGACACTGTTCTTTCTGTGAGATTGCACACTATTATACATAATATAACTATTTGTTTCCTACATAGAGATCCACAGGTCAAAGCTCTAACCATCCTCTCTTCAGACCTTGTCACCTTTTTATTTCAGAGGTGCGTTCATCACCAATTTACGAAGCAATCTAACAGCATGTCCTCCTAATTAATTCTGAAAGAAAAGAGACACCTCCCGCCATTATCACTGAAGAAGGAAAAAAGTGGTTGTTGATCCATCCCACCCCGTGCCTTTGTTCTGCGCTTTCAACTGTCGTCTGCAACAACAAAACCAAGTTGAAAGACAGTTGCTGCGCTGTCCATCACCACCGTGGATGGGGAGCTCAGACTGTAAACCTAACACCATCTTTGCCAGGGGGGAAGCCATCCTGCCTGCACACTTGACCCTGCATGCACACATGCACATCCAGTCTCCCCTGGGTGGTGTCGTATTTGTGGGTTGCACAACATCCTCCTCTGAGTGGCACTCAAACACTTTACTTTGTCACATCTTACCTCAGATGCTTCTCTCGCTGTAGTGCCTCCAGCTTTGGTCCGAAGGCCTGGAGCCTAACTCTGTATATATTTCATGATACATACATATATTTGAGGAAGAATTGGATGAAAAAACACCCCCCTCTCTAATTGTCCCCTGTGGACCAGCTTCCCCTTGACATTTTGTTATGGATTTCTGTAAAGCCTGGCTGTGTGGGGAGGCAGAGGCTGTACTGAGGCTGCTGATAGAGTGAGTGAGCTCCCCGCTGGGGGCCATCCAGCAGAGCTACGGGGTCAGGGCACTCAGCTGCTACCCAAAGCTGGCCTCAGGTGTTGATGCTTAAAATGGGGGATGTGTCATAGAATGCTATTTACGTTCTGCTGCTCTCTATGGAGACAGGGATGGTTAAGATGAGACCAAACATCTGTCTTAAGAGTAGTTAATGATGCCATGTAGGAGACGGGTCACATCACTCAGAATAAGTTATGAGCAGATGTTGAGCTGTGAGTCGTATATTAAGGAGAAAGAAAATGGACAAATGCATTGACGATAAAAGCAATACATAGTTGCAGCCCTTTTTTCTGAATAATTGAACATGATCAGTATGATCTTCATTTGCTTTTCATAAAAATAGACTTAGTCCATGTTGGCCAGTAATCTCCTAACCCCCAATCTCCAGGGAGTCCTTGTCCTCCCTCCTCATGTATTTCCCTCTGTCATCATTTCTCCTTCTCTGCGGACAGTGCAGCTCCCTAGTGAAACTGGTCAGACACCAGCAATTCAACCCCTGGTTTTTATTCACAAGATCCCAGGCTGGAGGAAATTCTGTCCTATAGAATTAATCAAGTATGAACATACAGTTAATGTTTTCACCATTGATAGAAAATAACATCATGTTGCTGTGTAGTTGATGATATTTTAAATATCTAAGTGACAGTTGTTCATGTGTGAGAGAAGCAGATGTTGCAGAATGAAGCGCCTCTCGTTTAATAAATAGGATTAACTGGCCTCTTGTGGACATGTTTGCTGAGAAAGTGACTGAACGCAGCCTCAACAACATTTAATCAGAATTAATTCCATAATATCAATTCAGATGCAAGCTTGAAAATGTGCTTGCGCATAACAGTAATTACGAAATGGCCTACTCTAACTGGAGGTTGCAGATATTTGTCTAATGTAGCCTTCATGCATAAATAAAAACCTGTCCATTATACTGCAGAGCCCTCGCAGCCAAGCGCAGAAGTGTACTGTGAGAAACAGTAGTCTGACTGCAGCACCATTACAAATGAAAGAAAATATGTTTAGATGAGAAAGATCTTTTACATAAAGCAAAATAAAACAGTAAAGTCTGGGTCTGAGTGTAGCAACATGTAATATGGAGATTTGTTTGCAGTGTTTCCTTAGCAATACTTTGTTTAAATACAAAATGTTTGTAGTTGTTTTTTGTTCATGTGATGCTTGCCTGTTCTTTTAATTAAATAGAATCCTTAATGATTTATTTTTTTCAATGCATTATCATTTTATCCTTACACTGTTTATGCTACTTATTATAAAGGCCAATATGTTTGAAATTGATACAACACAGCAGTATTTACTGGTATTGACAGAAATGGAACATTTCGTTTATATGATTTGTTTTATCAGTGTATAATCACCTGGATCCCCTGCAACCTCACCACTACATAACACTAAATCCTACACACTGAACCTTTTATACATAAGTTAAAAAATAAATTACTTTTTATCACACAGATGCAGTCAGATTCTTCAAAACTGAGCTATACTGTAACTATAGTTGAGGTTGTCTGTACAGTGTGAAAAGAAAAAGTAAATTTATCCTTGATTGAAGGCCCTTGTAGGATTCACTTTTCTAATTAAACTGAATTATATACAATGTACAGACAGAATAAATGCTATTCAACTCAATAATTAAATCACTATGAATAATATTAGATTGTTTCCCTGATGCAGCTGTCTTCTCTCTTTGTCTGCAGGTCTTATTCTTCTCTTCTATGTAGTTTTCTACATTTTCCTGGCCGGCTTGTTTGCGCTCACCATGTACGTCATGCTGCAGACCCTGGACGAACACAAACCAACCTGGCAGGACAGGCTCTCCACACCAGGTGCGGCGACTAATGATACAAACTGCACCGACACAGGTCACAGTCTCATGTCGCCGTGTCATGAACTCACTGCTGTCTCTCTGTCGCTCACAGGCATGGTGATTAGACCCAAAGCAGATGAGACCTTTGAGATCATCTACAACATCCAGAAAACTGAGAGCTGGGACATGTACACTCAGACCCTGGACAAGTTCCTGGCACGTAAGTCTGCCCCCCCGGCCTCAATCGCAGTGGCTCAAAAAGATTACTGCTGTGGATTATCCAAACCAATAGAGTGAAGAGTTTACACAAAATAAGAGTTCATTCATTGGAGTCATAAGCTCTTAGTAAAATAACCCCCACCCCTGCTTTCCTCCTCCCCCTCCCACAGCCTACAACGACTCCGTCCAGGAGCAGAAAAACGACGAGTGCACCCCGGACCAGTACTATCTGCAGGAGGACAGCGGCAATGTGAAGAACAACCCAAAGCGCTCCTGTCAGTTCAACCGCACTATCCTGGAGGACTGCTCTGGAATCCAGGACCGTTACTATGGATACCAGTCGGGCAAACCATGCATCATCATCAAGCTGAATCGGGTATGAAAGAGAGAGAGGCAAGGGAAATGGATGGTGTTGCTAGGAGACCTGGGGTGTTTGAGATAATGAGACTGGTTGGGCACAAGGAAAAAAAAAATCCCAGTAAAAGGAAAAGGAAAAAAAAAGGTTTCACTCACTAGATATTACATTAATTGTTGTTTTCAATATCTCATATCTTGTTGCAGATTTCTTTCATTTTCTGCTCCTCTGTGTGTGAATAAGAGTGAGATGGGACTGTGTTGTGTTTCAGGTGATTGGGATGCTGCCAGGGAAGGATGGACAGGCTCCGTATGTCACCTGTGGTGCAAAGGTAATCCCTTTTTGTCTTCCACAATGAAAGGCTTCACCTAACAAATTGGACTCAAGCCCATTCATAGCTAGTGTGCTCGTCCACAATATGTCACCTATCGCTCATCACCACTTTCCTGTGATGTTTGTATTTCCTATGTCATCATATCTGTGTCGCATGCCATTGTCATTTACACCACATGTCTGTTGCTGCTCTTCTCTTTTTCTTTTTCCTTTTTCCTTCATGTTCCTTTAATTTGTTTGCTCTCAGAGATACAAAGTTGGCAAAGATGAATGGGTAAGAACAGGACAGAGAAGATCATAATTAGACGTGTATAGCAGTAGTGTAACAGTTGTATGTGAGGTGTTTTGAAGGTGAGAAGTGTTAGTGTTTTTATGCTCTGGTAAATGTAATGATTTTTTTATGTAACTTTCAAACCTGTTGGAAGAAAACACCATAACATACACATTTAGATGTTTATTGTACTGCACGTTTTCTTTTTGTGTCTGTAGATTTTAATTATAATCTATGTTTATTCACTGCTGATTGGTCTCGTACTCTGAGCCAGCAATCTCCACTTCAGTAGCATTTATGACAACTAGTATAAGTAGATGTATTTTCAGGTACTTTTCACTTAAAGGTCCAGTGTGTAGAATTTAGTGACATCTAGAGGTGAAATTGCATATTGCAGCTGAATGCTCCTCTTCTCACCTTCCCCTTCCCAACATGAAAGAGAACCTGTGGTGAACTTCAGTTGTCATGAAAACTCAAAAGATTTTAGTTTGTCCAGTTTGGACAACAGTAAAAACATGGAGGCCTCCACAGAAAGGATGTAGTAGACTGCTGCATTCCAACAAGAACTTTTAATTTCAGTATTTCAAGAATATTTAAAAGCTAGCACTCATTTTACCCAGAGGTATTTTCACCTTTACTTCAGTATATTTCTGTCTATTTTTTTTGTACTTTTAATTTGTGCACTTTTAATGTAAAATGTTCCTAAACACATGATGAAAATTATTTATTTACGCTGTTTCTGATTCATGGAGTGATAATCGGAGCTATCCCCTCTGTAAAAACCCTCGACTCTAATATGTGAACAAACTATGTTGGAAATTAATGCAATGTATAATGTATAATTTGCATTATTTTAAACCAACTAGAAAAGTTTCATGGCAATATCTAGGAGACTTCTGTTGTTTCTCACCTTAAAAAGTTGCTGAAGTAGATGGAGGGCACTTTGGTTTTAGGCTGTAACTGACGAGACTGTTTCACCCCCCAGAGAGAAGACAGTGAGAAGATTGGAGAGTTGATGTACTTCCCTCCAAATGGCACCTTCAACCTTATGTACTACCCTTACTATGGCAAGAAAGCTCAGGTAAGACTAAACTGTACAGATGGTTTACAGTGTGTCATCTTGTAAACATTGCATTTTAAAGATTCGTTCCTGCGCTTCGAGGTGTCATTGGATGTGTGTTTTGCAGGTGAACTACTCTCAGCCTTTGGTTGCCGTCAAGTTCCTTAACATCACTGTCAATGAGGACGTCAACATCGAGTGCAAGATCAACGCCAACAACATTCCCGTCGGAAGTGAAAGAGACAAGTTTGCCGGGAGAGTGTCCTTCAAGCTGAGGATCGACACTAACTAGGTTGACCTTTTCCTCCCCTCTCCTGAAAACTACTCTCTTCATTCTCTGCAGCATTGCACATGCACAGAAATAAATCGCAGTATTCACACCCTTCGTAGGATATGTTTACAACCCCTGAATGTTTTTGGGAAATAGTCCAGTCATGTTATGAGGTGAGATGAGATCGAGAATTTAAAAAACAAAAGGGTGGAAATCCTGTCATTATTTCTGTCTGTGAGCTTTGGGACAAAATTCTTTCCTGTACATTAATTTGAGGTGACGTCTATTTATACTGCATGACAAACTAGGGGATATAAAGGATGTGAACGTGTGTTTTCAAAGTTTGCAAGGATCAGTAACATTACCAAGTTATTGCTGCTCCCCTCCGGTTGCCTCCTTATAGAGTATCCCTCTATATACGAATATACACAACTTACAATACAAAATGTGTATATCTACGGTATTTATACAGTATCACGACCTTATATCAGTACATCAATTTTGTTGCACTTCAAAGAATATTCCAACAGACTTGTGTATATCTTGACAGGGTGGATGCAGAGACGAAGCCATTTTGCATGTGTGTATACGTCTTCAGTGTGCTTTGAGGGCAGGAGGCCCCCATGTCCCACCTCTCTGCTAAGTTTGAAATAAGGTTATGTCGAACCACTGACCACCAGGAGGGGCCGCACTGTGATCTTCTAAAACTCGTGCACGGCAAGTGTGTGTTTTACGAAAACAACGTAGCGTAAGATAGGAATCTTCATGAAACCAGAAAAGAAACGGGAGTTACAGTAGAGGTCGAAACCTTCAAGAGTGTGTGTGTGTGTGTGTGTGTGTGTGTGCTCTATTCAAAATTCTCATCTCACACAGTAGGTCGGGAAATTGCATGCAATGTGCAATATTCATTAAGTGGCAAACATTATGAATGCTTGAGTCTGACCCTAAGATGACAGGACATCTCATAAGTGATAATTCTTTTTTTGGATCATTTCATCACCGGTTGTTTGACTTGGGAGCAGTTTACAGAACAGATGTGGGTATTTAGGTTGCTGGTGATGGTCGTATCAAAACTACTGATGCCATACAATGGGAAAAGGCATGTCAGTTACGTCAACATCAGCATGACCCAAAACGTCCAGTGACGTAGTGGTTAAACAAAACTTTAGCTCCGATGCTCCGTTACGCTCCCTGTCATTGTCACTAACAATTTCTTCATGAAGTTAAATCAGGATCCATTTCTTGTGTCTAATTTTTTTTATTTAAACACGAATATTTAGAGTTCCTTTTGTGTGCTTTGCATCTATTTCATACAATCAAGTATCAGAAATAGATGCTGTTGTGATATTTTTGTATTGATTTGCACTGGAAGTGTTTCCTTTGTTTTATTCATGTCCCATTTTCATCCTCGAAAATATTCATCAAGGATATCAAAATTTGTAGTTTACATTTCCCTTTATAGTTGACTGTTAGAGTCTTGATTATGTGACTTGATAGTGGATCAGAGTTTTGTTTTTTAGGCCTGTAAAATATATATTTTTTTCCATTAATATTTTTTCCTTGTAGTATTTTCCAATATTGAACCCATGAATCAGGCTTAAGGCAGAGCCATTACGATAAGAAGACAACTACATTGACCAGCCAACCTCTTTAAAATTCATGAATTAAGTCTGGTGCTGTTTACCTAAGGTGTATTCACCATGCAGTACAAGCAAGCCTTCAAATACTGACAATAGAAATCTGTGGAGTCACACCTTTAAACATTCACATGCACAGCAACAAAATGAAACCAGTGTGACTGTCACCCCGGATCATAAGCTTCTGTTCACTCACTTTAAAAGAAAGAAAGAAGGAAAAGAAAGAAAAGATGTACAACTGAGGAGTTGTCAGTCGTTTGAGGGTTTTTTTTTTGTGTGACTTCACTTCATGCGTCGCCCCTCTCCAGCATTCCTGCAACACTTAATTTCACTGTAATCTCTTAATCTGGCCGGCTAATCCAGAGCAGGCATGCTGAACTTCTTTACCCCACTTTGTCACTCCTCCTCCTCCTTGTGTGAAACACTCGATTCACTGTCATCATCTTTCAAGATGGAGAGAGTAAAATTAATTTCCCCTTGTTTGTTATTAATTTCTGAAATTAAAGCCCCTTTAAATGACAAAAAAGCAGGTTACATGTTTTGCTCCATCACCTTATTAGACATGCTCACTTTAATTTATGTGCACATGAAGATTTGTTCTTCAACCAAAGACTTTCATGACAGATTGAATTTGATTGATTGGATGCACATACTCAGCAGCAGATCTCAGTGTGGATCTCATTCAAAAGACTGAAAGATCGAGGTGGAGACCCTGTGCAATTAACTTTTATATAATAATAATACATCATAAATATATGAATAATAATAGTAACACTACAACGACTAATAATAATAATTAAAATTATGATAACAATATTACGCACAAAAGGAACACGTTACATGACAAGATAACAGTGCCTCCTGGTGGACAGATTGTGTTGTTCCCCAGTGTTACAGAATGTTATTTCCTGTTATCTCCATTTATCCTTTTTTTTTTCTGTGATAATTTGGAGATGTCCTCAAAAAGCAATATATTTATTTCTTGTGTGGCTGTATGATGTATTTATTGGAAAGGCTGAAACTAAATCAGTGCAACATGTATCATCAAGGGCAAAGAGGAAAAAGGAAAAAACATATAGATGTCGCATTCTGGCATTATTGCCAGTTTTGTGTGTATCATCATGATGGAACAATCTAAAAAAAACAATTGTTTTGTTTATAAAAGAGTATTTTTACTGCTATTTTGTTGTAAAGAGGAGAGAATGTATTAGCTTGGATTGTATCATGTCATGGAACTATATCTGGTAGGTTTCATCATTTAATTCAACAAATGGCAAAATGTTAACAGCTCGGTTGGAAAAGTTTTTGATTTATGTATAGAATTTTTTGTCATTGTTTGAGTCCTCTCTACTTTGTTAAAGTGAGCGTGCAGTGAAAGTTCTCTGAGGTCTGCTGTACCAGAATGAAGAAAGAGTTGTTAATGGTAAATCAGTGAGGTGGTGAATAATGAGAAGCGCTTTCAGAGAAATTTCAGGTGATCAGAAAAAATCAGAAAAAAAACACAAAAGGGCCCAAAGAAAATATCAGAGAGAGAAAGAGTCAGATATTCATGTTTTAATTAAGAAATAATGTCACGAAACCCCATTAACCCCCATCTAATCACTTCATCTTACATCATATCAATGCCTAGGACTGTGGTGTTCAAGAAAGGAATACTCTCGCCCAAAAAAGGATGATAATTCTATTCTGGATTCTTTATTTTTTGCTCTTATTGTATGTATATTTTTGCTCATGTTTACTGCAAACCAAGATAGAGAAATAAATAAATGTCATTTAAGGGAACTCAAAATGAATCTTTGCCTCTATGCCTCTCAGTCATCCTTCATCTTTTTATCATGAATCAAAACGTCATCACATATGGTGTCTACGCCGTACGCAGGGGGACAGAAAAAGAAGCCAGTCAGTCAGTGTCAAAGGTTATGTCAGATGGAATCTAATGTAATCTCATTCACCGTAATCCTCCCAGCCTGCAACGCCAGGGGTCACAAGTGTTGACCTGTGCAGACTGAAGTGGTGAAAGACAAAAGAGTCAACGTCTTTCTGGCTGTGTGACACGACTGGCTTATCCCCCATATGAGTGAGAATCTCTGCATTTTATCAAGCGGAAGTAGAGACGTAATGAAAATACCAGCAACACGTCATCTTCCTACACACATCATGGGACAAAGGTCACAGATTACAGTCTCGGCCTTTTTCTTGTTGCTACTACTTCAATGCCAAACATGTTGATCGGTCCAAGCTCAGAAATGTGTGAATCCTGTTCCAGTTGGACAGTTTTTCCCTTTAGGAGCTGCTTTACAAATAGTCTAGCCCCCAACTGCTTGACAAGATTAGGGCCGAAGAGTATTGCTGCTCACTGACCTTCAACCGCCTCCTGTCTCCAGCTCACTCTGTGCCCTCAGGCTCTATCCTTATCTCTCCTTTCTTCTCCTCAGAAAGAGAGAGCGCAGTCCAGGAAAAGGGAGAGAGCCGGGATTACGTAGCATTAGAGGTATTTATAGGTTTAAAATAGTCTTATCAAGAGCAGTGCCAGCGACTGATATTTGCACATACTAACTGCCACGTCACTCAGACGTTCAATAATTTATAATCATAAATAATCTGCAGCACTTCAATATTCAACATTTGATATGTAAGATATTCTTAAAACATACTTTATAAGGGGGAAAGGCTTTTAGACTGCCATTGTGCCATTAAGGGAAAATGTGGGCATGTTCAGAGTGTGTGCCACAAAGATGATATTCCTCCTGATGTAAGGAAAGGGAAGACTAGCAGAGCACTGGTACCTCTGCTGGAAGGTGTTACACAACAGCTTAATGGCATTTAAATGTCAAAGTTATCATATTAACAGACTTTGTCATGAAACAGGCCCCTGCGTTCTCTCTTATTCATTTTATAGATATTTAATTATTCTGTACATGATACAAAATGTCTGCGTACTCTAAATCTTTTTTTATGTAACACCTCTTGATCAGGCTGGATTGGTCCCAGATTTTCGGTCTACAAGGCACTAAACCTAGCCCACGGTGAGGTAGCAAACTAAATCCCCAAGATTTAACCACAATTAAAACAGTCATTTTCAATAACATTTTAAATGTGGAAATAAAAACTTACCAATCACATACAGGTGGGTGTTGGCACAAAAACATACAACAGTCCATTCAGTGACATGTGTTACAGCGGAGGTGATTGTGTTCATGTTGATGTGTCCAGCTGCTTATTAAATCATTCACATTTGGTGAGTAGCAAGCCTTAAAACTTTATCAGCTGCCTTAAAACTTCTTATGAGGTGAGGAGAAGTCAACAGATGATTTTATTTGATGAGGAATGTCATGGCTAAAAGTGAACTGGCTTTTTTTTACTGATTTACTTGATTGTTGACACAGCACTTTGGTTTGCAGATGGCACGCAGAAGTGAGACTAAAGGAATGAGTGAGCCTAAACTGGTCTTAGTATGTAGTAGTATGTAATCTGGTTGTAAAGTGGTTTGATCGCTGCCCCTCCCACCTGTGTGTGTGTGTGTGTGTGTGTGTGTGTGTGTGTGTGTGTGTGTTCTGATTGGTCCGTCATGCTTGTGATGGATGTGTGTGTGATTGGTATGGCAGGTCTGGGCGTGGTTTCTCCCTGCAGGTCCTTGGCACACCTGCAGCTCATCTCCACTGAACACGTGGTGCAGTATAAGAACCCTGGTCTTCAGTCTACTTATCTCCAGATAATACAGTCAGACTAAGCGGTAGTATCTATCAGTATTGGCTCGGTTCTGGTCGCTGTCCACGTGAATAAACTATCTGCTAGCCTGTTAGGTTCCATGCCTGGACATCTTCTGCCTGAAGACTGGCTTCCTGTTCTTTGCCTGTCACCTGCTGATCACAGAGTGAGAGCCAACAGGGCTTCACCCACAACAACGCTACCGTGCCATGACCCACCATGCAGCACGCCACACCAAGCATGACGACCACCTCAGAGACCTTCTTTGCCTGAATCCTTCACTGTGAAATATTCTGCAAACCTTCATTTTACTTTGAAAAGTCCAGTTCCTGCACCACTGGCCCATGTGGAAAATGGTGAATATGGCCCAAACAAAACAAATACCAACCACTTTTTGTTCCTATTCGGTATTGCCGTGGCTTAATTGTGGCCCAACAATAACAATTATGATATCAGATGGGAAGAAAATATGGCACTTGTAAACTTTAGCTGAAAATAAATCAAGCCCATTAATGTTTCCTCGTTTTAAGACCATCAGTTGCCAGACGAGAAACAATGAGGACAGTGCAAAACATGGTAAAACAGCCATAGAGGCTTAATGTCCAGTCTGATAGTCCCATCTTCTATGGCAAGTTAAGCATGCCATTTTCTTCCAGGGCTTTCTGTGTCCTGTCATAAACCTCTCCGATGGCCTGAACCACTCTGCTCAGCATCTTGCTCAGCTCCTCCTGGTCCTGCACACACACCAGCCTGAAGAAGAAACCCCGCTCTGGCATAGCAATGAAGGCCAGCTCGGCTGCCCTCCGCACAAACCAGTTGTGGTGGTTGGCGAGCGTGCTCTGATAGGCCTCGCGACACAGCTCCGAGGGGCTCCTGAGGCGGCCGGCCACTGGTGTCTCAGCCAATTTCTCCAGGAAGAGCTTCAGCCACAGCAGAGCCCGATGCAGACGCAGAAGAGTCCGGCATCCGGAGTCCGTCTGGTGATTGAAGTCCACCACGCCTCTGTTCAGCTCCACCCAGATCATGGAGCGCACAGAGTGGTAAGCATCTACGTGCTGTGAGGCCTCGACATTGTTCTTCGTCCCGGCCTCTGTGGTCACTGAATTTATTGAGTTTATATCTGGGCCCAGCTCTGCTTCAGGATTCCCCTCTGCCAAAAGGGCCAGCTGGCGAATAATGGAGGTCTTACTTTCTATCTCTTTAGATATCAGTCCCACCATTGGGCCCAGAGCCTCCATAAACCTGCAGGAGCAGCACACAACAGAATCAATCAGCTTCGGCTGGATTGGATTGGATAAAATAATCCATTATTGGTCCACAATGGGGAAATTTGCAGTGTTACAGCAGGAAGGGCAGTCAGTAACAACAGTAACGTAATAATGAATAAAATGCAATACTTTTAAATTATAAATGGAATTAAAACTAATACGTACAGTGTAAAAAGAATATGAACAGTGTGAGAATATTTCAGACTCATAAATCATTTTGGTGCTGTAAATAAATCCATCCCTCACACTGTATTCCTGCTTTTATTAGGTGATCTTACCTCACGAGCTCATCCCAGCTGGACAGATAGGGCGGCAGCAGCACGTCCGAGGTGTAGGCCGGCGCTGCCAACAGGTGGGTGAGCAGCAGTGACACCTGGAAGGTCTGACCGGGGCACCCCTCCAGGGCTGATGGGCCCTCAGCCCCATCGGTCCCACTGCTGTTGGACAGCTGGTGAAGCTGATGGTAGGGGGGAGTGGGGAGGTGTGTGAGTGTGGGGGGGAAAGGGTGAGTGGGGGAAGAGGCGAAGGAAACGAGGACTGATAAGGTGGGATTGGTACTGTCAGAGTGTCACGTAGACGGCAGGTAGAAATTCTCNGGGGGGCAATTAATGGGACAAAGAAAGACAGAAAGTGAGTTACCACTATTCAAACTGTCAGTCTGCTTCACAGATTCAGTCTGATGGAGGAAATGTAAAGAACGATGAAGTGATTTATTATTTGCTTGTGGTCTTTACCTTATTCACCTGATTATAACCTTTTAAACAGGAATCCCAGTGGTAATCCAAACCTCCCTCTGCAGTCAGACATGACAAAAAGAAACAAGAGAAAACCAAAAGATTAGTTTGTGGCTACAGACACTTTCCAACTAAAACAGACTTTTTTCTGAGAGTGCTGCCACTTAACAACAACCTGTTTGAGCTGCAGGGACTTTCTGAGTTGTGTGAGTAGATTAACAAATCCAAATTAAAATACTGATAGGTTTTTACCTCATATTATTTCGGAAGAAACCAAACTAACAAACCAAACTAACTGTAAAATAAATAAATGAATACAACTGTAAATCCAATGATTATGTTTTCGTTTTGGTGATGAGATAACATATTGTACTTTTGCTTTGATAATGTAAATCATATTTATTATTCAATATTTAATGGTATCATTATTATCTAATTATAAAGAAATAAGTTATTGAGGATCTGTTAGTGATCCTGTTGCCGCTCTAAACATCCAGTGAGCTGAAACTCACAGGCAGTACAAAGTTGAGGGAAGCTGTATAAATCGTATCGTCATTATAAGCCACCCACTTCATTGACACATTGATAGAATCTAACTGCTTTAAATTACAGGAGACTATCCTCTTCTTCACAATCACTCATTAACGTGATAAATCTTTATGCTGTTAAAATGGGAAACTGGCTGTGACAGGATTAAATGTGTGTTCTGCACAACAATAGAAACAAATTTCTACCACAGCAAACCACATTCTATTGATGTCCAGTTGTAATGGTTTTCTGCCTCATTCCAGCCTGTGACAAAGCAACGTCTGTTGTCTTCATTCACACACAAGTTGTTCTGGCATCAGTTGTAGGCCCCATCGAGTTCTCTAACTACGTCCCTCAATAGGGTCACATGATTCATACAAACTTTGCACTATTAAACAAGAGCATTTTGGGTTTATTTGGGACCTCTTTATATTCCTTCAGAAGCCCCTGCAGGTCCCCAGACCACCTGACCATATATTATAAAGCGTAATGTCTGAGCGCCATACAACCAAAACCTACAAAAGTCACCACTGATACAATACAATTCATCTTAACTCTCCTGATGTCATCAGCTTCCTGTCAAATAGCTGAAACTACTTGAGTTCAAATTGTAAAAAAAGCCCATCTGGTTTGCCAGAGATGTATTTCTGACTTGACAGTGACCTAGTGTGGATGTTGCCAGAAGTGTCATCCGAGATGTGAAGCCTTTGCACTAGTACTACAAGCAGTATCTAAATTTAAGTTTCCTTATAGAGCAACTGTGAGTAACTATCCAGAACTGGTTGTTGTTTCTGTTAAATTGGCACTTTGCAGTCTGACTCAGCAATCTCGCTGCACTTTCAATTTAATCCAGACAAATCACATGGTCCTGTAATTTCCCCACAATAAGGAAGAAAGAATGTGGTGTAGTTATTGATTTGTACATTTGTAGCTCATGCATAAAATAATATCTGATATGACTTGAATTAAATAAAAAATAAGACTCAAAACCATCCATATATATATATATATATATATACATTTATAGACTCATTTATAGACTCATACATATATACATATATATATGTGTGTGTGTGTGTGTGTGTGTGTGTGTGTGTGTGTGTGTTTAAACATGTGAGCATTAAGATTCAGTAAAGAGTGGATAACTCTGCAGCCACCACACCATGTGACACTTCCCTGATTTGGAGCCTTATGCATTCCAAACAAGGGAGGGATTGTATAGATTAAAAGTGTAACCACACACACACATGCACATTGATACACAAACAGAGACACACAGAAATACTCACGCAGCCACAGGGACCCGAGGAACACCAGCAGGACTAAGATAGCCAAGGCAGCCTTTCTCTTCACACCCATACTGAAGTCCAGTTTCTGGGTCTGCCAGTCCTTCTCCTTGTCTTTTACCTTTTAATTCCTCTGTGTCTCACATGAGTCCTCGTCCCCTTGCACTGGCTGTCACCACAATTACTCTCTACCGGACCCTTGCCTCTGACCCCCCACCCTCCCACGTCCTTTCAAATCTTTCATACTCCTCCCCAAAACCTCAGACACAATCCCATGTCCACCATTGTGCCTAATAGAGCCTTGTATCAATGTTTAACTCTTTTTTACAGCTGCTTACTGCTGCTCTCCCCAGTCACGCTCTCCCACAACTTTGCTTTTCTTTTGACTCTGTGATTCACGTCTTCCTGCTACCCTGCCTTTGTTTCACACTGATTTTTGGAGCTGCCTGCCTCTTGATGTGGTGTTGCTCAATCTGAGGGTCCAGAGATCATCCAAGTGCAGCCCCTGGCTGATAAAGCAGAGGCAATGTAGTTTGTCCGCCAGTAACCCCTTTCCTCCAGATTCATCTTCTCTATATGCGTCTATATTCCTGGTCAGTTGGAGTAAACATCTGCTCCCTCTCCTCTCCACCCACCACCACCCTTCCTCCTCCCTCCTCTCTCTCCCTCCTCTCTCTCTCTCTCTCTCTCTCTCTCTCTCTCTCTCTCTCTCATTCACACACACCATTAAGTGCACAACCACCACATTTTACAACTGTGCTGTCACACATTCCGGAAAACACATTGATTTAAGTGAGGGTACAACATGAAATGCAGGCGTGCCCCATTCCTCCATGTAAACAGAATGTATTTTTCCACCTCTCTTTTTATATTTCTCTTAAAGTCATGACAAACTTGATCAAACCTCTGTAGTGATGTATCTGTCAGATACAGCATAATCTCCTTGACTGCACACGCAGAGATGTGATACCAAATCCATGTTCGTCAATGATTAACAAAGTCTAACCGCACTTATCCGAGCTGAGGCAGCAAAAGATACAAGGATGACCATTTGTGCTAATCTCATGCTAGATATGAAGACATCTGTAGCTCTCAACATGTTATTGGGGAGCAAACAGAACAAAGCTACAGGGACAACATACACGTTTTTCTTTTCAAACTTCATATTCAGATTGATATCTTTCAGTTTTTAGTTCAGGTCTAAAGTCTGAGATGATTCAGTAAGAAGGGAGGACTGACATGTAGCATGAAGGGTGTTCCCATGATTATCACCACTGTTAGTGATAATCATGGGAAACCCAGTGATTGGTCTCTATCAGTGGGTTTGCTGCTGCTGCTGCTGCTGCATGTGGGGGGAGGTGAACAGACATTGAACTCCACACTCAAGCCGAACCACATGTGTGCTCACGAAGAGGGACTCAACAATGGTAGTTTTCAACAGAGGAGCGGGAAAAAAACCTGAAAGCAGGGGCATTCATTACTTGGCTGGGAGGGGCTGGTCATGGGGCTTTTATTCCGTGCAGCCAATGGACGATTCCTGTGTGAAATAGGCAACAACTGATGAGGAGAGGCTTGAATCCCTGTGAAAACATGTGACCCTTTCAGAAACCCTGAACTGCTTGACTCCACACAGCTGCCGCTCTCTAATGACACGTTCTGATAAAATTAACATATGTATTATCTATTTTAAAGTAAAGTTTTATTTTCGTCTGTGGGGAAAATAACAGTAAGCTGTTGGTTCATAAAGTGATGCACAAGATGGACTGAACCACGTGGTATGAATTCACACTGTGGGGATATATTTATGTGCGGAGGTTCAGTGGAGCAGGAAGAGGATATTTTGTCACTGTCAGAAACCACAACACTGGATTTTCCACCACCCCGTGCACTAAAGTGAAACATATCAGGAGAGACAAAACATAAAACCACAGGACCAGGATTACACTCATAATCCTGTTTGTTAAATTTGTTCCTAAACCCTCAATAGAATTAATTTGTTCACAGTCTAGGGTTCAAAAACAAATTCTTTAACATTGTGAGATAAGGCATTTTGCAACATTTCCCTTGATTTCTCAGAGAATAATTCATTGATCTTGATTAAAATTAGTCATGTTTAGGGAACTGATATTTATAAGTGTGTGCAATTTGGTAATGATCCATATACAAATCTGGATCTTGTGAATTTAAACTTGGTTTCATGAGGAGACTATTGGGCCTTGGTGGAGGTATGTGCTCTACTTGTATTGTCAGTAGAGCACATACCTAAACATACTAAACATTCCTGTCTGACTGTTGTTAAAAGGAATTGGAGAATATACAGTAATTGGGTGAAGCTGAGAGAAATTTCTGTCTCAGTTGTGCCAAAGAAGCTTAAAGAAGCAAATACAGGATTTCACTCAGACTGCTTGTGGTGCAGGGAACATAAACAGCCTAAACCCAAACCTGCTTTAAAACTTAATGAAAAATCCATATTGTTTATTAAACTGTGGTGTAAACATAGATTTGAAGCTGCAAGGGTCAGGCTCTTCTACTGTATCTCAGCTCTAAGTGTGAGACACTGGATCTGCCTTCTGGAGGCTCTGATTACTTTCAAGAAGCTCATCTCTGCATCCCTGACTGTATATTTAGAAGTACATCTTAGTGTGCAACTCACATGGCACATTCCAAAAATCAGTCTGTTGCCCTTGACACTGTGGAGTGACTCTACTTATATTACCCAAAGCACTAATTATAATAGGAAATTTACGCTCTGGATTTGAAAAATAGCCATTTGCAGGATTGCAGCTTGGTCTGTTATTGGAATTTCAAATAACTCAACAGATTGGTGACTTATCATGATGCAGATCTCAGTGTCTGCCTCCGTGGGGTTGTTCACACTGTGGTCTGCAGACAGTCTTACTACTGGAGTCGTGATGGTGAGGTGGTAATGCTCTGCAGGGTGTATTATTACCCTGGACACATAGCAGCGGGAGTCTGCACAGCTGTTCACCTTGCTGCACCCATAGGTGCATGTATCTCTGTTTTTTTGCTGTCGTGTCTCCATGACTTCAGAGGACACTAATTTTCATTGACTTAAACCCTAACCTTGTAAAATGTCTTCTCCTTGACATTTAATTTAAATTAGGTTTAGGTAACCACAACAAGAGGAATAAGTGAAACACAAACATTCACCATTTAAATAATAATCTCTAATATATAAATTTGAAAATGTGCTGGAGTTTTTCCTTATAAACTAGTATAGAAGATATACACTATATAGTCTCTATAGAGAAATAAAACTCACAGCAATATTACAATATATCGGAGATATATGTTCCATATGGGAGATAAACAGCAGACGGTTTCACTGTTGTCTATAATATTTACAACAAAAACATCTTAATGAAATATTACTGCCATCACCACAGATAGCTGGTGTCTAATGATCATGATGATGATTATTGTTGGTGACCAGAGTGTGACTTGAAGTGCTGGTTTAGAGCCTCCCAGCTGCTGTGTAATCTGAGCCCCGGGCAGCGGTCAGGGGCGACAGTCAGGGGCTTTTGGGTGGAGGGGTTTGGGCCCTACCTCTCTGTCTCTGCTCTCACTGTCTCCCTCTTTTCTGCATCTCAAACTTTATATTTATAAATAGTGTTGTGCTGGGCAGCGAAGGGGTCTTGGAATATGATGGCACTACGCAGTTTTTGGATATTTTTTGGAGTAGTAACTATTTTTGGGGGATTAATGGTTGAGGGTAAGTGGCACAGTTGCAAACCTTTGGCACGTCCTCATTGACTGGCCGGCTGCCGTCTTCTCTATCAAAATAATCTTCTGCCTGTCATGTGCAGGCTGAAGATCAGTGTGTAGCTCTGAAACTTGCGCTGACACGCTGGAGCTGATTTTCCTAACTCTACTAAAATGTGCTCACACCTGTATGCACATGCTGCTGTTTTAATAACATTTTGTAACTTGTGCAGATTTTAATCAAGTTTGGAAGCAGAAAAAATTATTTCTTCATTTGATACATACAAGCTAACATACACTATATAGCAATATAGAGTATATGTGCATGATGCCATTAAGTGTATATAAACATAATTATTGTCTGAGTTGGACCATGCACATTATTTATATACTTACATTACATTTAAAAATATACAAAACAAACCGTACACGGAGAACGTCTGCTTTTTCTCTATCCACTATTGTGCCTAACCTATTATTTTGATGTGGACATGGATCATCTGACACATAACCTGTTGCATTATTATATGATGCAGTCAGTGCAATTTATCAGATGGGATCGAATAAGTCCGCTAGCATCAAGTACTGCAAAAGATCATCTGTGCTTTGTCATGCAAGCAGTATTACTGCAATGCGTAACACTCTAAATCCCCCAAACTAATACGAGTCTATAAATAAAGTACATGACCCAGTGTACAGCTTTGCACAAAAAGCCCAAAAAGAGTTGTTTGTGAACATTGTTAGTGTACATGCAGGAACAACAGAACAGAAAGGCTGAAACTATGATGGAGGGGAAAGTTGTTGTGGACAAATGCTTCCTGAGTCCATCTCATTGGTAGAGGTCAGTGGAGCAAGGAGGTACAGGGATAAGAGTAATCCTGGAATGTAGACTCCTGATATTATTTTTCTGACAAGCTTAAAATGCTAGGTCGCTCAAATTTTACTTGTGGGGAACAGTGTTGTTGTCATTGGTGTCCATTTCAAAACAACACTCATCCTCACTGAGAGAAACACAGCTCATTGAGGATCCTGGAAATAAGACGGAGTACCGTCGAACCCTCTGATGGAAGAATGCTGGCTCAGAGAAGTTCCTTACATGCTTAAGTGAAACCACGGTATCATATGAATTTTTGTGTCAGACACAAATGTGACATGAAGTGGAGGCTGTCAGTCATTTGATCTCTACACACATGGAGCAGCAGCTGCACATGTTCGGTCAAATTCAGTGGAGGTGTGATATTTCGAATTTACTTCAGTCTTCATCAAGTTGTTATAATCAGAATCAGGAATGGAAACAATCAGAATCCTTTTTGTTTTTCATGTTTATAACGTTAACCCAGCTGTAGAAGTATGCTCTGGGTGGTTGGTCACAGTCATCTGGGGTGAGTTCGACTCACTTTTACCCCAGTTAAACACATGCATTGTAATGTTTACCTGTGTGGCCATGTTGTTCTGACATATTACACTGCCTGCTCTCTTGGGTCAAGGGTCTGTTTAGCCAATCACAAAAAACAACCTCATTCAGAACTGGTTTATCCAGGGACATAGATTACATCAGCCAACGTTTAGAGATCATCACCATTTGAGGCCTTCAGTGATCACTTGTGAGCTGCCTTTGTTTCCCAGCATGCAGGTTTACAGGTCAGCTGCAGAAACTGACTGGGTCAAAGCCAAGACACAAAACAAACTTTGCAGCCACATATTAACACAGCTGCTCCAAGAGAATTGGCTGACTACTGCATTTAGAAGCACATCAGATACTGTGTGACTCACATGGCACACTGGAAAAGTCACTGTGGAGTGACACTGATTACTGTTTACCATACTTACAATAATTTGTTTGTTTGAATATCATCATTGTTTTTCAGCTATCCATCATAAAAGAAGAACAGTTAAAGTAGGCTGTAATAATAATAATATCCTTTATTTTGATAGCACTTATCTAAACAAGGTTACAAAGTGCTGTATACATGGGAACAACAGAGAGCAATACAAAATTAAACAAAAACAAGAATGGCACTCAATAGAGCACATACCTCTGCTAAGGTCCAACAGTCTACTTGTGAAACCACATTTAAATACAGTAGAACAAGCAGTTTGTTTAGGTCTGCACCAGATTGCACACACTTGTGGAAATCAGTCCCGTAAACATGTCACATTTTTTTCATTAAAATCCATGAATCCAGAGAAATCGAGGAAAATGTTGCAAAAGCGCCCTAATGAACAATGTTAAAGAAAGTGGGAAAAAAATAAAAATGCAATATGTTCTTTATTGGGTCATTACACTCGCCAAATGTCGTGAAAATTGGTTGACCAGTTTTTTGCGTATTACAACTAACAATAACTATAACTAACAAACTACCACGAACAAACCTCCTTGGCGCAGGTAATGAGAACGGTAACATAAAAGAAAAAAATAGCAAATATCATCCATCACCAACGAAATAAGAACCTTATGTTATTTTCATTTAGTTTATTTTTTTAAATTCAAATTTCATAAAAGCTTCCTAGGGAGAATTGTATGTTGTCCTCCATTATAAATTTAGAGAAAGTGCTATGGAGCTGTGTACAAACTCAGAGGCCTAACGCAGATGCATTACATGTCTTACTTTACATTCTCACATTTTCACTTTCACTGATTGTTCTTCACTCATCCATGTGTCAAGTGTAATATTCAACAATATTCAATCTTTGACAATTGCGTTGGGAGGTGAGACATCTGACCACTGTCATTACACTGCCCACCACACAAACTGTCTCATGGGAGAATCGTGACTACAGCCCGAACCAAGTGAAATATTTGTGTCTGATTAGACCAGGCAGACCCGGGCATGGATCGATCATAGTGGGGAACTTGATCTTTGCAGCTATGTAGTATGTGTTACTGACACCAATTTTTTTGAATGATGATATTGATGATTATTGCTGATGACCCGAGTGTGACATGAAGTCCTGGTTTAGAGTTTCCCAGCTGCTGTGTAATCGGAGCTATGGGTAGTGACAGCTGGGAGGAAAGAGGCAAGGGTCTGAAATAAACTCAGCCTTTTCTTACTCTTAGCGTCTCTTGAAGTTTATTCTGAAATACAGTGGAGCCGAGGAGGGTAATAGAATGCCACCACTGCTGTGAAGTGCAGTTTTGAGCATGGCGAGGCCACACAATAACAGGATAAAAAGGTCAATAGAGTCGGCAAACTGGCGCACACATAATGTTAGCAGCACAGCAATACCCAGCTGAAGTTTGCTAATATTCATTAACATTAGCTGCCACATGCTAATGGTCACACCATAGATGTAAACATAAAGATCTTCCCACTATCCAGAAACAAAGCTGAATTATCCCAGATGTGAACGCCGCCATCTTGCGCATTTGGATGCAGAGGGGTGGAGTCGCGATATCGAGGTCCTTCAGATACACACCCTCCACCAATCACGAGCCAGTCTCAGCTGTCAATCATGTTGTTTCACCTTATTTTTAATTAACTTAGTAATGAAAACTAAACTTACAGGACAAAATTGCACTTGAACACATATCAATGTGATAAAAACAACCAAAAATGACAGAAAACTATTTTGAGGAAAAATTTGATGTATACTTTATCTCCCTCACCTTATGTCACTCATTCCAGCAGCAACTCCAAAAAGGTTAGAATTACTGTCACTATCTATGTTACATGTAGGTGTTCGCATCCTATTGGATAGTTATGCCTAAAGCATGCAAACCTAAATCATGTTGTGTCCTTGCATCTTTCTACTGATATAATACGCAAAGAGTTGGTGCCTCTCTGTCTGGGGCATCTGAATTAGATATGAAAGTTAACCTGACCTTGGGTATTGTAGAGAAAAGGGTACATGTGGAATAAGACTGTCTCTATTCTCCGAATGGTGCTTTACTGATGTAAAGTGTAAGGAAGGTCCAAAATTCTTTTACATTTACATAGTCTCACTTTCACCAAAGTTTTTATTTTTATTTATTTTTTGCTTTTCTAAGTTTAATTGATTTTAAATAACGTGTGTCTTAACCTTGACGATCCCTCCTGCAGATCAAAAACTGACCCAATTTCTCATCTTTTTCTCCATGCAGTGCAGTGTAATGAGGAGTCAAAGCTGATCGGCGACTTGTTCAAAGACTACAAAAAAAACATACGACCTGTGGTTCATCCTGAGGACAAGCTGACTGTTCAGATCAAGATGACCCTCACTAACCTTATCTCCCTGGTGAGAGCTCACTTATCCTACTTGTTGTTGCAAAGCCTGGCTGCATATTCAAAAAAATATCTCTGTGACTGTACTGGAACTCAACGCTAGACATCCTCCAGACATTCTCTGGAGGGGCTGCATGTATCCGTTTGAGAGCCTCCGGACTTTCTGCTGACCTTCTCCAGGCCAGCCCCCAACAATAAAGTCCACACGATGTTCGAATTAGCCGATATGAGAACACAGCAGGAGATCCTCCACGGACAGAAACAAAAATGCGACAGACGCAAAAATGAAAAAAACTAAAAGAACACAAATATCTCGAGGTGAAAAAGTGGAGCTATACACAGAGAAGACGCAGACGTAGATGTCAAAATAGTTTTTGGTGATTAGCATGGATGCCCGTGTCAATGTGCTGTAAACAAAAACATGTGATCTCCGCAGCAGAAGTGATACGTTACGTCCTGCCTCTGTGTGCGGCGCCTCATCCAAACAATCTGGAGATTTCTGTGATGTTGTTAACGCATCTGAGCAGAGAATCTCCTGCTGCGTTCTTCTAGTATGAAAACAGCTTTATAGAAATATATATGAAAAAATAGTGTACAACAGTTCCATACATGTAATTACACTTATATTCAAAAAGCGGTACAACCATGGGTTTCCTATGATTCTCACAGGATGATGGTGTTAACCATAATACTGTACAGTGTCTAGACATGCCCACATGGCTCACGGCTGTTAGGTCGCTATAAGATGACTTGTGAAAGTGTAGTGTGTGGTTAACACCCACACCCCTTATTCTCACATCACTTTCACTTGCACCTCCACAGAATGAAAAGGAGGAGACTCTTACGACCAACGTGTGGATTGAGATTGTGAGTGTTCTCTTTCTTCATACTCATAATTTTGTTTTGGTGGCAGAAATCATGGAATAACTTTTCAAATTCTCTACACTACTCCCTTGTTCAGTCCCTTGTTCAGTCCTCTGTTGTGTCTCGTGACCTTATTCTTTCATGTCACCTACAGCAATGGGTTGATTATCGCTTTGTCTGGAACACCTCTGATTATTATGGCATTGATATTATTCGTGTCCCGTGCAACACAGTGTGGCTTCCTGATATTGTCCTGGAGAACAAGTAAGACAGAAACACAGCGTCATTATACTATTTCTTTGTTGTTTGAGTCTAAAATCTGGCATCGACTCTGTCTGTGCGGCCTTCTCTGCAGCATTGATGGCAAGTTTGACGTGGCTTACTATGCCAATGTGTTGATCAGCAACACTGGGTGGATGTACTGGCTGCCTCCTGCCATCTATCGCAGCACTTGTGCCATTGAGATCACCTTCTTCCCGTTTGACTATCAAAACTGCACGCTAGCATTCCGGTAAAGTACAATTCTATCATAAGTAAATACATATATGATATGGGTAATGATGTACGAGTTTGTTTCTTTTCAATCCTCTCTTCCCTCACTACCACATCCCTAGATCCCAGACTTACAGTGCCAAAGAAGTGGACCTTATTTTGGCTGTAGATGAAAATGAACACACTATTGAATGGGTGGACATCGACCCAGAGGCTTTCACGGGTACAGCGCATCCACCTTTAATACACCAACATTCAAAACATACAGTTCCTCTGTGGCTTATTGTGCTTTTACTGTTCAGAGAATGGTGAGTGGGCCATCGTCCATCGTCCGGGCAGGAAGATGATCAACAAGCGGTACACCCCGGATGACCTGGAGTATCAGGAGATCCTGTTCAATCTGATCATCCAAAGGAAGCCGCTTTTCTACATCATCAACATCATCCTGCCCTGCTCCCTCATCTCCTCACTAGTCGTATTGGCCTACTTCCTCCCTGCACAGGGTCGGTGATTACATGTCATCATGGTTATTAATGACATAATAAGGGGCACAAAGATGTTCTATGCTATAAAATGTTAAGTCTCATAATGTTCTGCACCTGGACATAAAACAGAATGATAATATGTTTTTGAAGCAGTCATTTGACCTTTTATAATAATATTAATAATAAAAATTAAATATTACGTTTATTCAGTCGGTCTTAGTCAAATCCCTAACGATGCCATATGATGTAATATAAAGTGTTCTGATTCTGATATACTGTCTGAATATGAAACAAAATATTCTTAATAGTGCCTGAGCACAGCATATACTACGGGTATAGTCTTTTTATGTGATGTGGTCTCCTGTCCCAAGTCTCTGTTGTCCCCTTCCACAGCTGGAGGACAGAAGTTGACTGTGGCCATCTCCGTCCTGCTGGCTCAAACTGTCTTCCTCTTCCTTATCGCTCAGAAAGTCCCTGAGACATCTCTCTCTGTCCCTCTTATCGGCAAGTGAGTCAGCGTGTGTTTTCTGCTGACCTCTGATGCTCTCTGCTGGTCTTCTTTATTTCTTACTCTATTTTCAACCCTCTTGTCCAAACCAGATATTGTCTGATTTCCTCCCCCTGCAGGTACCTGATCTTTGTCATGTGCGTTACTACTCTCATTGCTACCAATCAAATCGTGGTGCTGAACTTCTCCCTGCGCAGCCCCAACACTCACACCATGTCCCACAGCATAAAACATGTGAGTAAAAACTGAGTCACATTTAAAAGTTCAGGTGTTTTTTTACTGTGTGTGATTATGTGTCCTAACAACTACCCATCCTTTTTCTGTCTTCCTCAGGTGTTTTTGGAGATGGTGCCTCGCTTCCTTGGCATGTTCCCACTGGTGGATGACAGCGAGGTGACGTCAGAGGTCAACGGAGTGAGGGAGCGGCGGCGCAGCTCTTTCGGCCTCATGCAAAGAGCAGAGGAATATGTGATGAAACAACCGCGCAGTGAAATGATGTTTGACAAACAGAGAGAGAGGCACGGTCTAACACGGGCTATTGGTACGACATCTTTTTCTAAAACTATGAGCAAATGTTTGTTGCATATTTCAGGTCAAATACTTGCCTCAATGTTCCAGAGAAAGAATAAGTGGTTTCCCTACCACTACAGAATGTGTTTGTGCTTTGCTGGACGTTATTATAACTTTGTTTGAAGGTTATGTGCAAACTAGAGGCACTGGCCCCAGCTGAAAACCGAATGGCCCCTGTAGTGCCCCTGGGCTGTGGTTACGACTTACTGACCACAGCTCGGGGGCACCAGGGACTTACTAACAATAATAAAAATATAAGTATTTCTTAATAATTTTTATTTACACAAAGTGCTCGAAGAAGCAACAAATTTCAAAATGTGGATTGTGTATGGATTTTGGACATATGACTGGCCCCTCTGTGTGCATTGTAGAGCCTGCATGGCCCTGTGTTAGAAAAATCCTAGATCAGCCACTGCCCGCAATGTTAAATAAAGTGATAAGAAAAATTTGAGTATTACAGGTGTAACTTGTGTTGTTTAACACCTTTTTCTACCTCAGGAGAAGCTGTAGAATATATATATACTGTTCTCTGACTGTCAGCATCTCCTTCCCCTCAGTGGATAATATGGACATCAGCAGCACAGCCAACCTGTACAAGAGTTTGGCTCAAGCTGCACCAGAGATAAAGCAGTGTGTTGATGCCTGCAACTTCATCGCTGAGAGCACAAGACAGCAGAACAACATTGGATCTGTGAGTGTTACTTGAGACTTTAATAACTGCCTAACTATCAAACAGATTTTGAAGCTGACTCTTACATATTTTCCATTTCATAATTCTTTTAGGTAAATCTTCATTCTTTAATCTCTATTCACTTTCTTTCCAAATGCAGGAAATTGAGAGCTGGGTACTGATCGGGAAGATGATTGACAAGGTGTGTTTCTGGGCTGCCATTCTCCTCTTCATCATCGGCACGGTGGGGATCTTCCTGACGGGACACTTCAACCAGGTGCCAGAATTTCCATTTCCTGGCCAGAGCAAAAAATACATTGCGCCATAAGAGAGTTCAAAAACAAAAAAATGTTTTCAATCTGTTGAAGCTTTTTCCTCACGCTTTCTATGAGGCTGAGCGGTCTTGAGTCCTTGACGCGTCGCACTCAAGGTTGAGTTAAGTCTCTGCAGCAGGTTTTTAAAAACAGATGTTCAACAGAAGATGTGTCTGTGTCAACGTTCACAGCTCAGACTTTTATAAGCTGAGGGTTTGTTATTCAAATACACAGCTTTGTTTTTAGTTCTTCATATTGGTGTCTGTTCATTTGGATGAACTGTATCGTTGGATGAGGTCGAGCTTCATCATCATCATAGAATAGATTAATCATTTGTCTGTTCTGTGATAATAAAGACTATAGTTCTTAGTTTAGACTTGGGGTCATGGTTGAAAATACTTAAACCCATTTACCACCATTCTGGGAGTTCTTTCTATTGAAGCTTCCTAATTCAAAACTACTGCAGCATTGCGATTGTGTATTAAATGCAGCCACATTGACTGTGAAGAGCTATATTCAAAAATAGCAGAAAAGAAGTAACACTGCTGGTCTTTCATGGGCTTCATCCATGTACCACACTAAAAAACATATCTACTTATGTCTGGATAAGTAGCCGTGCATGTACTATGTCTTATATAAAGAACTTGTGCATGTAACTTGAGCCAGCCTGCTCTGAATCAAAGCCTTATTCTTTTTACTATGACTTATTCATTAGAAAGTCTTGTTAGAGGTAGGTGGCTCAGAGGGATGTCGTCTTGATGTCATTGTGCCATGTTTTTAAATAAATATTTTATTTTGTGCATCATGACTTATTGAATCGATTTATTGCAAAACATGTGACACAGAAGGTTTGAGCGTGAATTGTACGCAAAGTAGCTGTACATGTAGTCTGTAATATATCTGACTGTGCTGTATGCATCACAGAAGAGATATTAGATAACTGGATTATCTAACCACTGCACCATTATGGGTAAATATGTATGATTGCTATCCTTCACAGCTGTCAATCACTTACATATGGATGCAGAACAAACACATTCAATACGCAGTCGTGCATCTTCCAGCCAGGAGGATGAAATACCTTGTTCAATCTGACAATCTAAAGGAAGGCCCTGTTCTACACCATCAACATCATCCTGCCCTGCCCCCTCATCTCCTCACTGCTCACATTGGAAGAGTTTCTTTCTACACAAAATCAGGAAGGCCATGTATATATCCCTCCATTATTACAGAGACTGCAGTTATTTGGAATAGGGTAACGTATGCAGTGTTTGTCTATCTACTGAGAAACTCATATTTGCACTTGCATACTGAACAAACAAATAGATGCTTGATAAATGTATTTCATTCTCAGTGTAATAAAATATAAGGTTAATTTTAACACCTGGAATCTTAAGTTTGCTCTTAAAATCATCATGCTCACTCTTAGTCTTGCACAACGATATTTTATTTTTTCTTTTAGTGTGGTTGAACGCCACCATGTGGTGTGAATCTGCACTACACAAAAGCAGACAGGGCTTATTTCCTCATAACTGCGCCACCCTCAGGCCAACATTCACACTGTATTTCACAATCATGCGTGTAAAAACGTATTTAGTTCTAACAAACATATGGTGAGTATTTACCTCTGACTGATATATCTCTATTTGTTATTTTATCAGTACACCTCAGTCAACACTTTCCTCTCTAAATGAAATCAGTTCATTTGAATAAACCTATAACATATGTCTAATTAGCTTGCAGGACCACAAGCTCATTAAAAGGCAAACAAATATTACCATATATGGAGGAATAATATGAGAAACCTATGATAAAAAGTCACCTGTCACCTCTGGGTGTGCAATGTGTAAGAATAAGGGCCCTGGCTAATTACAAAAAAAATTATAATATATGAATAACATGTGAATAAAATAAATAAATTAGGTCTCACTCCTAATAAACATGTTATGGTCTTATTAGCTGGGAATGACTAAGTCATTGCAGTGAACTGATGCTGGATAAGGTCTGTAACCAGGCTGGGGGCAGACCAACAATAAGTTGGCCCATTTTTTGAGAAGTAGCTTTAAACAGATCCTCTGTAGCTTACTTTTTGAAATTTAGATAAGGGTGTGGTTGGAAATATTGTGCTGCCCTCAGGATGGTGCTACTGGTCACTAAGAGCTTGAACCTTCAGACTCATGAACAGTTTCTTTCCTAAGGCCATTCAAACTTTACTCTAAATCAACACACAAAATGAAAACTGCCTATTCACCCCCTATCTTATTAACTATGTTGAAGTGTGCGATAACTTCTGTGGACTGTGTAACAATCACATATTTATAAATATACTACTACTACTTTGTTATGTCTGCATGTATAGTATGCAATGTGTATGAAATGTGTTATATCTTGTGTCTTTGTATTTATTCTATTCTATTCTAGTACTGTACGTGTCTGTGCCATACACATGCTGTGTTTCAGTACTTTCATGAAAGAGAGAAATTCATTAGGAGTTGTGAACACAACATTTCACAGGTATTTTACCTTTGGGTCTCATGCAGAACATTTTAACCGGAAATCTCGCGATATTTTGTGCGACTGACGTTGAAGTTTGTAAAACACAAGTGAATACCACATGTCCTGTCCTCACCGTCCATAAAGGCTACATTCCTGTGTGTGTGCGTGTGTGTGTGTACCTGAAGGCACCCAATCACAACTTGTACACGGTCTCTCTCACGTTGCAGCCAAATCCCTGCCTGTAAAGGGATAGTTCACCAGAAAAATCAATAATTATCTACTCACCACTATGATGATGGAGGGGGTGGGTGAAAAGTCCACAAAACACTGTTGGTGTTTCAGGGGTAAACAGTGTTGCAGTCAAATACAAACAGTTTTGCAAACGTAAAAAACAACAGAAAAAACCCATAACATGCTTCTATACTGCTCCTGGGGTGTCATTTTTGGGTGAACTATCCCTTTAACTCCTCTCTTCTGCTTTTTGGTTCATATATATATACAAATATATATATATATATATATATATACACTTGCATGTGTAAAATATAAAACAAATACTGAGACATATTGTGGAAAAAGCTGCCATCACTTTAGGATCTCCTCGCTTCAGTCCTGCAGGCACCAATGGGAGGGACTTGATTTGCATCACCTACTGGAGACTCTGATTCAGAAACACTGTGGAATACGATGAACGATCAGCTGTAGCCTGAGTGTGTGTTCACCTTGTTGTGTCGCATGTGGAACATCTGAGCCGAGCCGAGCCGGGGTTGTATTTAAACAGAGTGAGTATGGTTGTAGGCCAAACTTGGACTCGTAATATTCCACTCCTGCTTGTGTGCGTGTGCGTGCATGCGTGTGTGTGTGTGTGTCGCAGCTTTACCGACTGCAGATCGTCCAGATGCTCATTTATATACAACACACACTCACACCACTCGGTCACATGTGTTTATATCTTATATACGGTCCCTGTGGTGTAAACACTGTTTACGCAGCTTGGTGTCTGTCCCGGTTTGATCGAGGTGTAGTTTTCCTGGTGGAATGTGGCGCTGTAGGAAACCAGGCGAATGGGTGGGGACGACAAAACTTAGTGCTGAGCATTCCCACCGTCCACAGTTACATTTGAAATCCGGAGTGAACGTGGATTTAACGGTGGCGTGGGAAAGAAGCTCATTCAGATCGCGTGTATACCTGAGATGGTCTGATGGAGCCGCAGCACCACATACAAACACCCTCCTCCACGTCCAAACTCTCATCAGCTCTGAAAATCCAACCTCAAACCTGCACCTTTCGTTTCCTCAAATCCCCTCTCGACTTGTGTCTGTGACTCTGCGAGGAAGCGGAGTTATTTTCAGTCGACGTGGAGGAGTTTTAAAGGAGTAATGTGTCGTTGGACCACGCGGCTCGGGGAAGAGTTGAGTCAGCAGTGTTGTTTTAGTCATTGTGGGAAGTTTTGTTCAACACTCAGACCCTGTCCTTTCAGTGTTCACGTCACTGTCACACCCTGTGTTTCACCCAGCGTGCTCTCAAAGGTCCTGTGCATGTGTGTTGTTTCTGAAAGATCAGATAGATTCTCCTGAAAAATCAAATGGAAAATGTGAACATTAAGATTTGTGTTATTGTGTTGAAAGTTAACGTTTAAGTTGTATCCTGCTGTCTATCTATGCTAGAGGCGGATGGATGGATAGCAGGGCTGGACAATTTTGGTCAGAGATAGATTTCATATCACTCAATGTAAAAAATGTTCATGATAAATCTTAAAATGTTGTTTCTTTTATGTTTAAAAAGAGATTTTTGTTCCCTGATTGAAGGTTGTGGTTTTAAACTCCTCCTTATGAGCAGAGTATGACAAACAAGATTCAAGGATTGATAAACAGCTGTGATTGCACAATATCATTTATATATTGCTTTCTCGACACACAATAACTAAACTAAAACAAATGTGAATATCAGGTGAAGAGGGATAGACCCCTAGTTGTGCATCATATGTGAACACAAACATCACACAGGAACACATTGATGTGATACATTTAGTCCAGTTCAGTGATCACAGGCGGAGGTGGAGGTAGATGAGATGAAAAGTGTGATGTCAGTTGGCAGGGATGACCTCCTGCTGGAATGAGTCCATGGCTGAAGCTGCTCTTTACTTTGTCCAGTGTTTTATAAAGAGGGGGGGAGAGATAGTACATGACTTGTCTGTTGTTTAGCCGACAATCTCTCCTGTCTGCTTTATGATGGTTGGACACATGGGAACACAAAAAAAGAGTAAAGAGTAACTTTACCAACCTGAATAGCCTTGTTTTACCTCTGACCTATTCTACTTAATGTTTCAAGAGTGTTGCATGGAGGTGCTCTGTTTTATTTGAAACAACATCTGACATTGATGTGCGGGCGTACACACCATAGCCTGAGTTTCATCATCATGAGTGTCAGCACTTTACGTAAAAAAAACATTGCAGCTGGTGTCAAGTTTCTCTTTCTAACTCTCTATTCAAGCACACAATGTATTATTACTATAAGCACATAATGGATGCTTATTGGCAAGGAAGAAAAAGACAGAACTAAGAGCTCATCTGGAAAACCATATCTATCTCAACTAACAGTTGGGAGGGAAGTTCATTGACATGATTCAAATTTCTGCTTACATGGTTGATTCAAATATGATCTAGGATTCTAAGCGCACAGAACTACAGCAACTTAAGGATGGATGGATGATAGATGGATAGAAAAAGTGCAGAAATAGCTCTGAAAAAATGTCAAATTGGAAATAGCAATTAAAATACTTGAATGACACTGAGCAAAGTGCACACCTCCACCAAGGCCCAACAGATCCCTTATCAAACATCATTTCAATTCAGTAGATCTGGAATTTGGATCTACACCACATTACACACACTCGTAGACATCATTCCCCTAAACATGCCTGATTTTCCATGAAATAATCTCTGAGAAATCAAGGACAATTTTGAAAAACACCCTATACACCCTTCCTGTATTATAGAAAGAGAAAAGAAATTCCCGTCTCCCCCTCCCGTTTTTTCTTTGGTCACAATTCACACCTCAAAAAAATTTCACGGACATCGGTTAAATAAACACAGTCGAAAAACATGAGGTAACTTGTTCTTTTCTCTGGAATCACAGCAACACGTAGCGAGGATCGGCCCTAATGGGAATAAATAAAGTTCTTTAGTAAATCATGGAAACTCATTTCCATCCTGAAATGGTTTTATTTTAAAGAGCAGTGACCGCTGTAACTAAATCAGAACACTCTGGACAGGCCCTCATTCCATAACATGTTTTGAGGTATCACTGTATCCTATCCCGATTGTAGACACCATCTGAAGCTTCTATGAATCGAAAGAAAATCATCATTTCATTGAAAGGAATACAAATTTCCATTGTTTATATAACAGCAGTCATGCGCTCTTTATAAAGCTAGATGCAAATTTAAAGTATTACAAAAAAATGAGAATAGAAAATACATCAAAAAAGTAATAAAAGTAATATTTAATTACATGTTTTGTAGTGTATTTATATGTAAACCTTTGCAGCCAATAATATTAGAGCATATTCATCTTATTTAGATTATCCAATCATTCGTCATTATATGGTATAAATGATGTCCTGATTACATCATTATGAAATGGCAGGTAGCATTGGTGTATATACAGTTCATTATTATATAATTCTGGATAATCTAAGCAATCGGTACGAAAATGAGTTTGTACTAAACAGTTGAAAAGAATAGATGTTAGCTGAAGCACAACAATGAACATTATGGAAATCAAATATGAACTGAATCTATTGCTGCCTTAAAGTACTGAGTCATTTCAATGAAGTCTTTTCAATGGATCACCTTCCTCCACACACACACACACACACACACACACCCACCCCATTTCCTCGTTTCCTAGGAAACACTCAACCATTCAAAGACATCTACCCACACGCTACACAAAAGGGTTCACACGCACCCTCTGTCACCAGTAGCTGTGATCTAGGCTTCTTGTATTTCACAGTGTCGATGAGCTGACCAGCAGGTAAACACCACGAGATGCCGATGCTGCATTCAGACCCTTTACTTTTGTCACTTTAACTGTGCTTCTGATAACATTTTGTAGTCTGTCGCTGTCGGTGCTACTGAGTCGTACTTGAATGCCTCTTCCTGTATAAGGATGTTACCTCACTCTCTCTGAGGATTAGTTTGACTCAAAGCTCTTGTTTGTATGATCAGGTTGTTTTCTCCAGAAGCTTGAAGTTCATCTGCAGACAGAGTTATGTTGTATGATGCCTGTGACTGCTAATGTTAAGAATGTTAAGAAGTGCTGCTGCTGCTGCTGCTGCTGCTGCTGCTGCTGCTGCTGCTGCTGCTGCTGCTGCTGCTGCTGCTGCTGCTGCTGCTGCTGCTGCTGCTGCTGNCTGCTGCTGCTGCTGCTGCTGCTGCTGCTGCTGCTGCTGCTGCTGCTGCTGCTGCTGCTGCTGCTGCTGCTGCTGCTGCTGCTGCTGCTGCTGCTCCTAAAATACATCTTATATGACTCATGAGGCTGTTGCTATTGTTACTGTTAGCTGTTGTCATAGTAGAACGAGTGGGACTGGGACTGCTGCTGCCTCTGTTGCTACTTTTACAAACACTACTGCAACTTTTGCATGCTGTTGATACATATATAGAATATACTATTTAATAGATGTACCACACCAATTACTCTATAGCCATTTAGTTCATTCATAGTAGAAAAACTCACATTAACTTTAAAATTGTAAAAGACCTGAAATATTGATGAAAGTATCTAGCAGCCCTACATTAGCAATAACTGAAATTAATTCGTAATGAGACATTATGAAGCCATTTATAGAGCTGTGTCGAAGCGATTAAAGGTCCAGTGTGTAAGATTTAGGTGAAAGGAATCTATTGGCAGAAATTTAATGTAGAATAATCCTCATGATGTTTTCACTAGTTTGTTTCATATAAATTATATGAATTGTAGTTTTCTTTACCCCAGAAAAGGTCCTTTATATTTAGTTGTTTTTATGACAACTGAAGCTACCACAGGTTCTTTTTCATGTTTGGAAGGGTAGGGTGAGGTGAGGGGTGTTCAGCTGCAACATGCAACTTCACCACTAGATACAAAATTCTACACACTGTAACTTTGAATGGTTTTCATAAAAGGAAAAAAAATACAGACTTTCAATGTGTTGACCTGAGCTTTGACTGAATCACCTAAAAGTACATGAATGCCAGGTTTATGGTGTGTATATAGAGTTTGGTCTCAGATCCACATTTGTTTGATCAGTACTAATGTTTTCTCATGCATGCCAGTTTACACCTTATGTATGCTTAGTGGTGAGAAGGTGCACAACTTCTAAATGTCAATCTGCCTTCTTATCTTGTTTGTGCACCAGGAAAGCTGCCAACTGCACCAGCTGTGCGATGGCCAGTCCAGAGGAAGTGATCGAGCCCGAGGCCCTGAGCTCGGTGATACAAAACCTGGGCAGAAGACGCTTCTCGCACGATGGCCACAACCTGAGTCCAGATGAGTTGGACGGCCTAATGTCCAGCGGTGGTAAGAAACACATCACACGAGCTGCCTAACATCTAGTGTCAAAATAGTTTTATTAAAATGTTAATCTTCCACAGACGGCCGTCCTTTCCTGGTGGTACATCGTCTTCCGGATATAAAGGAGGCGGGTGTGCCATACCTAATGCCTGGTATTCCTATTACATGCAAAGTGGACAACACAGAGAAATACACTACTCGCTCAAAGGTACTTTATTTATACAGAAACAGTTGTTTTTCTTTTGGTGGTTGTTGAAAGGATACAAGTATTTTAAGGTTTAGATGAACTTAAAAATCAAAGCAAACACATGTATCTTTTTTACTTTAGAACCATCTCGAACCGTGATCATTTCTTAACATCTCAGACCAGACTGTGTATTACCATAATAACATGGTGTAATATAAAATATATGAGAGTAAAACTGCAGATGAAAATCTGCTGCTAAACTATTGAGCAGCTTGTTTCAAGTCTTATCAGTCAGCTGTCACTGTGTGTTGGGTGGCTGTTGAAGTCCTGTGTGGGCGTTCAGAGCTCGGAGCTGTTGTATTAGCCTGCTGTTGTTCAGAAGGAGAGGTAGGCTGTAGATTATATGACCGGTTGCTTTTAAGTGGAGTGTAGATGCAATGTGAGAGTTGAACAGGTGAGTGAAGTGTTAAGGGTATGAGAGGAAGGGGGTGGCTGAATTTACTGTGGAGTTTTCCTGGAGCCATCAGAGACTCATCCCACAAACAGCTGGCTTACTTGGAGCCCATTTTCCAGCTTTGACACATCTGCATTTGCAATTCAATGGATTTAAAATGCACGTGTGTGAGTGTAACCGTGTATTAACTAGGAAAGACCCAGGGACTCATATGTTGCATTTTGCACAAACTAAAACTGTATAGTTATTTTTAACAGCTTAAATATATGGATGTCTCAGTCAGTTTGTATATTATCTCCGTGGCTGATTATCATCATGCTCTGATTTTCTTCCTACTATCCAAACACATGTATGTCAAGGAAAACGGAAATGTATTATTTTCAGCAGGGAAGTGTACTGATGAGAAAGATGAAAAATGATGAAATTCAAAAAGTTTACTCAAACAGTCATTTGTGACTCTTGGTCACTCGTGGAGTAACAATTAGTGTTGTAAACTTAAAGGTTCAGAGTGTAGAATTGAGTGACATCTAGTGGTAAAGTTGTATGTTGCACCTGAATTTATTATCTTGACTGTTGGGACCTGCCATTTTACACTTTGTCCTGCCACAGCTTCCTCAGGCTATTTCCAACATCTCCCCAAATCTCAAGGAATTGAGTTCAATAGATTTTTGCGTGATCCTACTAACTAACAAATGCAGTTGAAAATAGGACTCTCAAGTAATTTATCGTCATTGTGTTTTCTTCAGTATTTGATTTTCATCATTTTCAAAAATGCCCCTCCAGGTCCGTGTAGGCACCCTGTACACTGTGCGGCTGACACACGGCCATTTCCACTGGACAGTAAAGAGGAAGTACAAGCACTTCCAGGAGCTGCATCGAGACCTTTACAAACACAAGATGATGATTAGCTTACTGCCTCTGGGAAGGTTGGTGCCCACATCCGTTTATCACAATCAAGCAAATCAACCTCTCGCTCTGAGAGACGTGCTGTTTCAAAATCTGAGTGATGGGTTGAGTTTGAGTTTTTATTGACTTATCTCTCATGCTCTGATTGTTTTGAATATTCAAACATCCCAGATTTGCAAAGGAGCGGCAGCAGCTGAGAGCCATGTCAGAGGAAATGCCCAGCCTGCACGGGACTGAACGAACCAGGAGGACCTCCAGCAAAATGGTATTAAACAAACCAGTTAGATACAGTGTCTACTTCGAACTGAAAATGCTCAGACAAATTGCTAACCATAGATTTTAAAATGTACTTGTATCTAAAGAGGAAGATTGATGATCTCATATAAAGATATGAGATAAGGGCTTTTATTGTTATGTTGAGTGCAGCTTGAGTCACCTTCCCTCAGGCTGTTCATTTATGATTTTTTCAACTGATCAACTGACATCATAGTAATCTCATATTCTATTCTATTGCATTTAAGTTTTTTCTTGACTAACAGTATTATTCATATTATTTCCCCCCAAAAAATTGGAATTGTATTCAGATGAACGTACTCAACAAAAAATGTCAAATTTTATAAGATTTTTAAGTAAGATCACAGACCCACACGTTATACACCGTATACATTCTGCTGTGGAAATCATTTTATTTATACTGCATTGACACTGTCGTAGACCCTTATCACCAAAAGCTCTTGAATCCCATGTCTTTCTAATTTGACATCATTTTTGGTGTCATCTATGTGAATGGTGACTCTTTTTAAGCCTGATATTTGGATTCTGTTTGTTTGCTATTTTCTTACATGGGCTCTCAGACATTTTATTTGGGGGCTAGCAGGAAAATTTCAGGAAAATGTCCAAAGTTAAGTCCCTGTCTGAAAGCAGCTTCTGACTGAGTGCGTCAAGTTGCTTTTCAAGATTTGATCATTTATTTATCTCCTTGTCTATTTCAGAAATATCTTGAGGAATATCTTAATGGACTGCTAGAGAACACGTTTTGTCGGAATGATCACAGCATGGTAAACGCTATGAAACACAAATATACATAACACACATGCAGAATGGATGTCATGCAGCTTTTTTACAATGTCTTGTTTTTATTCCAGCTGGAGTTCCTCTCTGTCGGTGCACTGTCTTTTGTCACTGATCTTGGACCTAAAGGCTTGTAAGCAAATTTGTTGAGATTCAAGTGTTAAATACCAAACAAATGATTATGGTCATGAGAGAGGTTCATTGTGCAACATCTTGTCAACTTCTCCCAGGGAGGGACCCATCTTCAAGAGGTCAGGGGGTCACCGCATCCAAGGCCTGAACTGCATCGGCCACCATCAATTCTGCTTCCGCTGGTCGCGCCGCTGGCTGGTTGTGAAAGACTCCTTCATGATGTACATGAACCGGGACAACAGCTACATCAACTTCGTGTTGCTGTTCGACCCAGAGTTCAAAGTGAAGGTCGGCCGTGCTTACACAGACACTAGATATGGGGTCTGCATTGAGAACTTCACTCGGTAGGTTCAGCTGTGTGTTTGTACTCAGATTTATGCTATTTAACATTTAACTCATAAACTATGATTCCACACATCGGCTATCCCATGGCCTAGGAACCCATTAACAGTAGTATGTTGGTATTTTGCATGTACCTGATCATTAGCTGATCACTGAAAACATTTAACAACATTGTAAAGAATTAGTGATGTGATACTACTTCAGATAAATACATAATATCTCAGCAACAACCCAAAAACCAAAGAACAAACTCTGGAGGTTTTTATGACATTATAAATTCACTTTGGTGAGTTCAACTTGAACTGTAATAGTCACTCGTAATGAAATTGGAGACAGCAGCATACTGTTCAGATAAATATGGAACTGAGCTTCAAAACGAAATGGCAACCACTTTTCTGTGACCTATATAAAGGGACATATGGTCCAAAAAGTTAAACCACATGAACGTTCCATAGGTCGCCGCAGCCCAAAAGGGTGATGATTTGACACAAAATGGCCCTTATGTGTCTGGGATTGTGTTGTGGTTGTGTTTCACAAATTGTTTGTTTCTTTCAGGTCTCTGGTCATCAAATGCAGCAGTTATCGACAAGCTCATTGGTGGAGTCACGAAATCAACCGGCTGGCAGAATCCAGTGACTATCTCAAAGTTCAACGCTTCAACGGTTTTGCTCCACCGCGCGAGAACACACTCACTAAATGGTCAGACATGTAGTCGACAGTAGATTTACAACTGTATGTCTTCGGTTTTTATCCTGGTTTGCTAAACTTGTCAGTTTACCCATGTCGTTTGAAGGTACGTGAATGGAAGCGGGTTCTTTGCCGACCTGGCTGATGCTCTGGAACAAGCCAAGGAGGAAATCTTCATCACAGATTGGTGGTGAGTGTCAGTGAATAGAGTTTGGTTTTCAAAATAAAGACTTCAAATATTTGAGCTACAGATTAAGTGTAGTTCTAATGTGCATAATGTAGAAATGTTCTCTCATTTTATTCTCTCAGGCTCAGCCCTGAAGTGTTCCTGAAGAGACCAGCGACTGAAAACTACTGGCGCCTGGATGAGGTCCTCAAACGCAAAGCAGTAAGGATTCTCTCCGCCTCCATCTCCTCTTTTCAAGTATTTAAGTTTAACATTACCTGATTGTTTCATGGCGTCAAGTCTCTTTGAACCTTTTCCCGCAGGAACAAGGGGTCAAAGTGTGTGTTCTTTTGTACAAAGAGGTGGAGCTCGCACTCGGCATCAATAGTGAGCACAGCAAGAGGACTCTCATGAATATGCACCCAAACATCAAGGTCTGTTGCCTCTCTGCATAATTTGACACACAGAGAATGGAAACACAATTACCATAGGCCTCATCTCATGTTTTTAACCTCAATCGTGCCCCTTTTACATCCACCAGGTAATGAGACATCCTGATCATGTGTCATCTGTGGTGTTCCTGTGGGCCCACCATGAAAAGATGGTCTCCATTGACCAAACGGTAGCCTTCATCGGGGGGATTGACTTGGCCTTTGGGAGGTGGGATGACAGCCAGTACCGGCTGACTGACCTGGGTTTGACAGATGCATCCATCAGTGTATCTGAGGAAGAGGCAAAGGGAAATACAGACGTAAGAATGTGTTGAAACTCTTACGTAGCTTGTTGATTGCCTCTAATGAAGCATTCATATGTTAAAAATAGTTCATGAAGATGCTAACAAATGTCTCTTTTAACCAGGACAATGGTGAGGTTGATGGTCCAAAACCCTCCGAACCAGATAATCAAGGAGTGCAGGAAACTGACAGTCTGACCGGCAACACTAAACTGTGGCTCGGCAAAGACTACAGCAACTTTATCAAGAAAGACTGGGTCCAGCTGGACAGACCATTTGAAGGTGCGTCACCTAATCTCCTGCAGCATCACACCCACACATGTAAACAGACCGAGAGCCTCAGAATCTTCTCTTTACTTTCTCAGATAACATCGACCGTACTCAAATTCCACGCATGCCGTGGCGAGATCTGTCTGCAGTTATTCATGGCAGAGCTGCCAGGGATGTTTCCCGCCACTTCATCCAGCGCTGGAACTTCACCAAGGTAAATCTGTCTTTTTAAAGCTACCCATTTCTTATTGTCTTAGTTTTAATCTATATCTTATTATAATGTTGTAAACATCCTCATAATTTGATATCTAAGATACTGTATCGTTAAAAAGTCTTGTTCACTACTAATTACAAGCGGTTATTCAGAGATGTAAACAAAGTAAAAATAGTAAAATATCTAAATATTGAATTGATAAAATTGAGCTAAAGAAAATTTGTAGACTGTTTTATAATATTCCCACTCTGGTATGCATAGCGACATATGGCTTTGTCTCCTCTAGATCTTCAAAAACAAGTACAAGGACAACTTCTACCCGTACCTTCTTCCCAAGTCTCAATGCACTGCTGACTCACTCTCCTTCACTGTGCCCGGCTCTAAGAAAGCCAAAGTGCAGGTATATATTTTTTTTATCACACACACATGAATCCCAGATGGAGTCGACAAAAATGGTTGTATAAGTCTTACAATCACTTTAGGTATGATCATGTGAATTGTACCTAATTTATGGGTCATCTCCTGCAGAAGGAGTTATTATTATTTGATAATGTTGCTGTAATTTTCATTAATTTCATTAACAAATGTTCAAAAGAGACAAACAAAGGTTGGTTTGTACAAAAGAACCACCTCTACTTTAGACTTCTCACACTATCAGGTTAGTTATCTGCCTTCAGTCTCCTGTACAAACACTGTTCAAACAAGATAAATCCAGACTTTCTTTTCATCAGAAGTTTCATTCCTACAGGGGAACAGTGGCAAGTTGTAAAAACACTGCATTGTCTTGCACAGAAAACCAACCCTCGATCCATGATAACACAGGAAACAAGCAGAACATCTATATTTTGGATTGTGTGGGAAAGATACTTTTGTGTCACACAAACCAGACTGGGACCACTGGGACCTTTAAAGCGGTTTAAACCATGCTGCTGATCATCTCCATATTAAGGTAGAGAAATTAGTGAAATGACTTTAATTTTTGTAGACAAGCAAGAGATTGAAGTTCCCTGCTGGCTTCTACCCTCCATTTTCCATGGTGTGACACCCGGTCAGATCCAGGAGGAAAATCACAGGGATTTATTTACAGTACAACAATGAGACACTGTTCTGGTGTTTGAAATGCAGCTTAAAGCATTCAGAGTTTTTTGTTGCAGTGGCAGATGGGAGGAACAAGGGTAAAGCCTGTGGAACAGAATCACTTCCAGCATGTTTATCCTGTTAAGTAAAGCCACAGAAAACACACATGCACTTGAAAGGACTGGGAGAACAAGTGTACGCATCTTATATGCTTCATGGGAGTTGTGGTCCAGATGTGGGGGAAACATTAGCAACTCAAAAGTCTGAAGAACAGAACAGATGCTACAACTTTACAAAGAGGCATGAATCAGTTTTCGGCCACTAGAGGACAGAATGATTATAGCTGAGGTAATATAACATATAGACTTTATTATCCCAGTGGGAAATTTACCTTGGACATCATCACAGATACTGCAACATAAAACCACAACCAAAACTACTCAGGGAGAGCAAACGTCTGCCAAGGCCCAACAGTCCCCTTATGAAACCACATTCAAATTCACTGGATCAAGATTTCTATTTGGATCTGCACCAAATTACACACACACACACACACACACA